TCCACATTTCTACCTACTGCTGGGGGATGGGAGTGGGAATCAGGAATTAGAATTCTTTGAATAGGAATTTGGATTCTTTGAATAGGAATTTTTAGCCCCTCATGAGGCAATATGAGGAAATATAAAGATTTTAAATAAGTTAATGCTTCTGTCAAAACCTAAGTCTCTGGTAGATTTGAACATGCAGATTTTTAGAAGGCACAGAGAATTCAAAATGTAATATAAGGGAAGTTCATGTAAGGTAGGAGGAAAAGTACAAAGAGGATCTCACCTTCTAGCTGTGTGAGTGAGGGAGCAGGAGGACTAGGGAGAAGTAAGCCAAGGCTTTGGTCACCATCCGTCTTGGGAGGTGAATTCAAGGGAGTGGTTTAGATGAGAACACAGGAGCTAGTGGCTGTAGCATTCCATGCAGCCCAGGAGAGGCTGAATTTCTAAGAGATCTCCATGTTCACCTCTGGCCCACATCCAGCATGGTGGCTGTGAGGAGGGAGTGCCAGCATCATGCTCCATTAAGACTAGATGGGTCTAACTACTTCTCAGAGGGGCCATTCAGAAACCCATAAACCATGCCCAGAGAGCCACAAACCACTCACAAAATACAGTGGACGATTCCTCAGCTGCTGCCTCACAACAGAGCCAAAGGATGGCAAAGGAACTGAGTTCAAGGACTCAAGGACTCAGAAGCCCTCCTCTTTGTCATTACCAAGAAATCAAGTAAGTCCTCTTTTCCCACCCCATTCAGTACATGTCACTCAGAGAGGAGTAGTGGACTGAAATAGGAAATTGGATAGACTGAGCATGTGTCTAAAAGAAAATGAGTGGTCTAGTGAGACTATTCAATCAAGTAAAAAGATGCTATGAATTAGAAAATTTAAAGCTACCACCCTCTGCCTCGACATCCAATAGTGAGAAAGATTAAATAAATAATAGAAAATGAGATACATTTTCTTTACACTTGTGTGTAATAATGTCAAATTGAAACATGTCTGCACCATAAAGGAAAGAATTGTGTATTTTTTAGTAGTTCTCCTCTTCCATAAAGGATTTGAGGCAGTTTCAATCTGTATATCAGAAAACAAACACTTAAGGAAAGAGAAAAGTTTTAGTTATTTGACATGAAGAAGAGAGTACTGAAGACATGCCTAATGCATTGGTTTCAACTGGAAGGTCAGTGTGGGAGGTGTGGCAACTTGTATCTTCTCTGTTCAAGGAACACCAATGCGTTGGAGAAGAAACCAGAGAAGTGAAAACTGTCTTATTTATGCCTTTATCCCTAGCATTTCTTATACTTCCTGGAGTATAGTGTATGATCAGGTAATATTTATTGGATGAATAAATGAAATCATAAATAAACTGCATAATGTCAGAATGGATAGCCTAAGACATTTTTAGAGCTGTTTTTCATAGTACCACGGGTGAAATGGTAAATCAGGGGACTCTGCTGTGGAAGGGGTAGGACCCTTTGTTTCTCCATCCATCCTGAAAGACCTAGAGTGCATTGCTACTTTGCTTCCCATGGGTTTTGAGGTTGGAGTAGGGATGCTTGCTGCATCCTCAGGTGAATCAGTACAATCTTTGCTGGGAGCCTTATGGAGAGATGTCCCAAGAGTTGAGACTCTGGTCCCAGGGAAGAACATGTTGGTCTGGGAGAAAGAAATATCCCCAAGTCCTAGTTTCCAGGAGACAAGCCTGTCCCTGTGGGCTGAAGAAGAGGATGATTGACATTTAGCCTGGAACTAGACTTTATATGCTTAAGTGTGTACATTCACTGAGTGGGCTAAATGAAGTGGGAATCATTAAGCCACCTTTAAACTTGTGTTCCATTAACAACTTACTGTGTATGATGAATGAAGGATTTAAAAGATAAGCTCAGCAATGTCTCATCAGTAGCATGATCAAACTACATTATTAAAAAGAGTTGACATATCTATTCATTAAATGTAAAATTTTAAAATATATAGTAATTAGTAGAATCTTTATTGGGCCTTTTTAAACTTTTATTTTAATGCTAGAAATCTCAAAATCTGAAAGCCACCAAGGTTCCATCTGAGATATTCTGGTACAAATACTTGGGAACATAAACCATACTGAGCTACTAATCATTTTCTAAATGCAATGATTTCTGTCAACTCTGTATTTTACACATTGTTCCCTGGGCCAGGAGCATGGGTCTCCCATATATGTCCCAGCCTTATGAGCAACAGTTTACATCTTTCCTCAAGATACACCCCAAGTGTCACACCTTCCCAGAAGCCTCCTGAATCCCCAGTCTTGCTTTGGTGGCTCTGAGAGTTCACTGTGCCTGCTATATTCTTTACTGCTCATCTTTCTTCCTTAATAGAATGTAAATTCCTTTAGAGTAGACACCACCCACCTCTTCTTATCCCAGGATTGGCACAGTTTGTCACATGGCAGATGCCCAGGCCCTTACATTAATATTCTGGGAGGTTCAAATTCCTAGTTCTGTCCCTCCCTAGAGTAGTAGGATCATTTTTTTTAGGGGTTAAGTACAGTTCTAMGTCCACACATGCAAGTCTCGCAGGCTCAGCAGAAATCATGCCACCTGGGGACAGACCTAGCACACCAGGACTCCAACATCAGAGAGTCAGAGGTGGAACTAAGTCAGATAGAAAATTGTCATGGAGCAAGAATATGAACATGCCGGCACTGTGGATGGAGGTGGTAAGTGAAGTGTCTCATCACAGGCCAGATGTGAATCAGCATGGGTCACATGGGGCTGATGCAGGACCCTTCTGGTCACAGGGCTRTTTGGAGTCATGGGCCTCTGCTGGCATAAGGCTGTTTGTTTGCAAAATACCCAGAGGCTGGACCTGCATTGGTCCTGTGCACTCTTCTGTGCATTCTTTCTGAAAATAAAATCTTTCACCATTCCCATTAGGGTGACAGGCCTTTTGCAATAGAGTCAATTAAAAAAAATTGTCAAGAAACAAAATGCCACAAGAGTAAGATTGACTCTTCAGAAGATTGGGAACTGAGCTGGGTGAAGTGGCATGCCCCTATAATCTCAGCCAAAGGATAAGGCAGGAGGAGACTGCAAATTTAGCCTCAGCAATTTAGACCCTAACTAAAAAAAGAAAGAAAGAAAAAGAAAAGAAAGGTGAGAAGGTTAAAGAGAATACTTTTAGAGTCAGAAGACATTAATACTCTATTTTTATAGATTTTGCAAGACTGTTGTGAACGTCTTTTAAATGATGACCACTTTCAGGCCCAGGTCAGTCAACACATCTTAGATATAGCATTACTTGGCACTGTCAGTGACCAAGGTTATCGGCCGACAGAATCTGCACTGGAAACAGACATGTTAATTAGTCTAATTAGTTCACTGGGGTAATTAATTACTTAACACTTACCTAATTATCTAACGTTTTCACCTGTCAGAGGCAGAGGCAAAATGCCAAATTGGAATTTGGTGGTCTTCCTCATTGCCCTAAAAATAACTGCAGAGATGTAGCCTGGAATACAAATGAAAGTGTACAGGTCCCAGTGGTAGTCAGTGGGCACAAGACTCAAAATTGCCAGCGATTGTTGGGAAAGAGCAGGAGGTAGACCAGCTCRAGGTGATCCTGAAGTAAGAGACAGGTATTATTATAAATGACAAAAAGGAATAAACTGTCCAGGCTACAAAGGCAAGATACATGTTCAGGCTTCATTTCCATTGTATTTGTCATTTCCTTTTCCAAGATAGGTTTCCTTAGGGACTTTTGGATATCCAGGGCAAAGTTAAAAAATGTCTATTTGGTAATGGCAGTGGCAAGATTTAGGCTACATTCATTATTCCCCAATATAGACTTCTCTATTCTCTTTCCTTCCCATTCTGAAAACTTTGTTGGCTAGCCAAGATGGACTGAAATAGGCCACCACAGAACTGGAGGAGTTTGCTAAGAAGGATTGTTATCAGGAAGTGGAGCAACATATAACTGGAGATCCCAGTTAGGGTRCAAGCATTCGGCTCCGGGCTGCTGTGGGCATTCTTCAAGAGAAATCCAGGCATATTATGAAATGCCTCATACCTACTGCTATTTGGCATTTATAAACATTTTAGGTTTTGATTTGTTTGAAAGCCAAGAGACCAGTGTTCTTGAAGCTCTCACCAGCATAGAACTTGAGCTGACAACCATGGGAGCCAAGAGAGAAAAAAACATCAGGATGAAGTTCTTCTACAGCCTTCCAGATTCCCTCATCCCAAGGAAAAGCGAGAAGCATCAACAGAGGTCGTGAATTCATAGGTTTCTTAACAGAGACTCTCTTTTCTGAAACTATTAGGCTATAATTTATTTGCCTGGATTGTCAGAGAGCTGGTTCAGTGGATTTTAGAGACAACCTAGGATTTAACTAAGTGAGGAGGAACTGAGAAGCAAGTTTTGTTTAATTATCAGAACTTCTGTGTGAACTTGAATGGGCAAAGTTCAGATAAAGGGAGATTCTGAGGTCCTGACCTTGAATGTTTTCCCTGTGATCACCAAGAATGAAAACACCTTGGCAAGGGGTGGGACGGGGAGGGGAAAATGAAATGCTTGAGAACTGAAGGTTCTCACGTCTACTGGACACATTTTTAAGATAATGTGGTGGGACTTTCATGAAAACTGAAAGAGGACTTGTATCTATATACAGTTATCTCAAAGTAAATAAGTCTGTGTACTATCCCAGACCCGTGTAGAGATCAAGGTCAGATGTAATGGAAAGGTGCTCTGGTCAATCGTTAACAAACTAACCAAAAAGATAGGATGCTAAACCTTCAAAGGGAGCCTATCTTCTTGGGCAAGTGATATAGAACTGGACTATAGTATAAAAGGCTGTGTTAGGGAGGTTATTTTTTAATTAGTAAGAGAGTAAAATTCTAAGGGAAGAACTCATCAACAATTTCAGAAGAAACATAAGTTTTAAGGAACGACATTATCCTTACTTGGAGCTGAATAATTATCATTAGACCTATAATTTAAAAGCAAATCACACTCTTTCTCTTTCCTGATATCCATATAATACAAAGTATGGCTTCCATTTTACCTGCTTCCAATCGATCCATGGGACCTGACAGGAATACATATAATGGGTAAGTAATTTTTATTTTCTACTTATTTTGATCAGAGGGATATTCCTTGCATTTTATATTAAACGCTCAGATGATGAATTATACAAATTATAATTATATAATTATAAATATATAATTATGTAAATTATATAAATATATATTTATATTCATTTCTTAAGTTTAGGCAATATATAGTTGGAATACAGCTCATAATACAAATCTAAATAAAAACCATGTAAATGTTCCTCACAGTGACATTTTCATTCCTTGGTTCTTGGTTGGGAGGAGGGAGCACTGGTTCATTAAGAAGTGGGGTGACAGTGAGAAATGCTAGGAGGAGGATGCAAAACAACAGAATTCGAAAAGTTGCCTTGGAAAATTTAGGTCTAGATGGACAGAGAAATGCAGGCCATAAATGAGAAATATAAGTACATGCTGTCATAGGCAGTTACTGCGCTCAAAAACTTTCCCATGGGGCACCTTGGTTTTGAAACCAGGCAGTGGCTTTGACTTGGGGATACTGCAGTTATGTTTCTAAGACTCACGAAGACACTTAAAGGAGGCATTTTGGAGGGAGAGCAAGAACTGCTAATCAAATTAAACTTTTGCAATAACTTTCTCACTCCTACTCCATAGACAGATTCTATAACCTCAGCCCATCACAGTGGTAGGAAGAGTAGATGCTTCCTCCTGTTGCCAAGATTTGGGGTATTCCACATATGTCCACATATGATTCATGGACTGATGATGCTTTGATTGAACCTGAGGTGTTTTACCAGTGAGCTACATCCCCAGCCCTTTCTATTTTTTGAGGCAGGTTGCTTGGGGCTTCTCACTTGTGATCCTCCTTTCTCAGCCATCTGACTTGCTAGGATTATAGGCTTATGGCACAGGGCCCAGCTCACGTATGAATATTAGAAGGTAATTCTAAATCATCGTGTCTTCTCTTTTACCTGAAATTTTCATTCTAATGTTTTTCTTACTCGTGCAAAAGCCATATCCTTATGAATACCAGAATAAACTAGGTATACATAAAAAAAGAGAGAAGGGCGGGGAGTGGGGAGAAAAGGAAAGAGAAAGTGGGGAGGAAGAAGTTACAGAAAATATTCAGGAGTGAACGAATTCTAAGTTCTGCCTAGAATTCACTACAGAGTTCAGCCTTTAATTCCAGGACCATGCGCTGGATCTGAAATATAATTAAAGGGGCCTCCCTGTGCCTAAGGGTGATTTAACTGTGTGGCAGCACATTATGAAGTGATTTCATGTGCTTTGTGATGGACTTTACATAGAATTCACCTCTAAAATACCATGGATGTTATTCATCTGAAGGGTAGACATAAATCTGCCAAAGCTGCCTGCAAATTTAGCGCCAATTTCTGCCCCAGGTTAACAGAACATAATAGAGCATTAATCTTCATGAGGCTTAAGGAATTTTTGCAAGTTCCCTCTGATTTGCTGAGAGTTGTGTGCAATGTTTTGCCATCATGTCGGCATTTCAGAAAACAATCTACTTACTTAGCCCAAACAGCTCCTCCTGCCATCTTTGTTTCCTCAGGGAAGCCACGGAGAGAGAGAAAAGGAAAAATTCATGTGTTATAACAACAAGAACCAAAAATAAGAAAAGAAAAGAAAAGAAAAGAAAGGAAAAAAATTGAAGAGGAAATAGTACATGTAAGTGTACTTAGTAACAATTATATATTCTAAAATATATTCTAAATTATATATTGCAAAAGCCAGATTCATACTGGGTTGAATTTGACATGAAATCCCAAACAACTCTTTCTTTTAAAAATGTTTTAAAATTTATTTTTAATTAACAAACAAATAATAATTGTATAAAGTTATGGAGTATAATGTGAAGTTTAAAAAGGTTTTTTTTTTGTAGCTGTAGATGGACAGACTGCCTTTATTTTATTTATGTTTTATCTGGTGCTGAGGATCGAACCCAGTGTCTCACACATGCTAGGCAAGCACACCACTGAGCCACAACCCCAGCCCCATAGAGTTTTGATCTATATATTGTAGAAAAACTCAAGCTAGTTAACATATTCATCACCTCACCAACTTTGCAGTGAGAATGCTAAAAATCTATTTTAAAAGCAATTTTAATGTATACATTATTATGAACTCTGATTACCATGCAGTGCAGTAGATTACTAAAACTTATGATACCATTCTGAAACTTTGTTCCCATGGATCAATATTTTGTCTTTTATCATCCTTCTCCCTACCCTCCAGTCTCTGGTAACCATCGTTTTCCTCTCTATTTCTATGAGTTAAAAATTTTTAGATTCCACATGTAAGAGAGAYCAGATAGTATTTTTTTCCCGTGTCTGTCCTCCGTTTCCATTCATGTTGTCACTAATGACAGAATTCCCTTCTTCTTAAAGGCTGACTAGTCTTTGTGGGTCCGTGTGTACATACTATATTTTCTTTATCCATGCATCCACCAAAGAACACTTAGGAAGATTCCCTAATTTGGTGGTTGTGAATAATGCTGAAATAAATATGAGTGTACAGATATCTCTTTGATATATTAAATTCATTTCCTTTAGACATACACTCAGTAGTATGATTGCTGGATCATATGGTAGTTCTATTTTTATTTTTTTGAGGCACCCCTCCCATACCGTTTTCCACAATGACTATACTAATTTACATTCCCACCAACAGCGTGTCAGGGTACCCTTTCCTCCACATCCTTTCCAACACTTGTTATCTTTGCTCTTTGGGAAGCTAGCCAGAATTCTAACAGGTGTGAAGCAATATCTTGTTGTGACTTGACTTTGTATTTCCCCGATGATTAGTGGTTTGTTWACCATTTTTMAATGTACCTATTGGCCATTTGTATCTCTTTGGTAAATGTCTCCTGATGTCTAGTTTTATTGGGGGGTCCCAGAAAAATTTCCAGAGCCTCACCTAGGGTCCACCTCTTGACTTTTAACTGATAGTACTGAAACTACGTGGATCACCTCCAAGAGAGGATGGTTTGCTGCTCAGAGTTAGGAATTTTTAGGAAATTGAGTCCCCTTAGTTTTGCCTCAATATTCTGCTCCCTTAACTTGTTTGAGTAGCTCTCAGCAAGCTTTCTTGTGAGGGTGTTGATGTTTTAGTGGCCAGGATGATTGGAGATTGTTCATGCTACCTATAAGGTGTGACATCATCTTGAAACAGTAGTTTTTCTCAGGAGGATGTGATTATGGCTGGGGAGGCTTTAACATAGCAAACCTCCATCTTCTAGGTGATTTCCGTTAGATAGGCTCCCTGTGGTTTTCAGTCCTCCACTATCCTTTCCYTGCTCACCCCTTCATGGCTGACTGGCTACCTAACAAAATCATAAGTGTTTCTACACACTTAAAGACCTATCTGAAAAAAAAATAGAGGAAAATTATCCTATTTATGATTCKATCAAAACAAACAAAATAATKAGGAATAAATTTAACCAGGGATGTGAAAGACCTGTACGCTGAAAACAATATCAAAGAAAGAAATTGAAGAAGACACAAATCCATGGAAGATATTCCATGTTTGTGGGTTGGAAGAATTAATATTGTTGAAATGTCCATACTACCCAAAGTGATCTACAGATTCAGTGTGATTCCTATCAAAATTTCAATGTCATTTTTCACTGAAATATAACCAAGTATCCTAAAATTCACCTGTAATCAGAAGACACCAAATAGTCAACAAGACTTTCCCTTTTTTGCTGATAGAGTGATTGATCGTCTTAGAAGTGCTTTTCCATGAGCAAATGGAACAATAACAACAACAAMAAAAAATCTTCCATAGGACTCCCCCACCCTTGCCTCACCTGCCACCAAATTTTTTGATTGAGGAGTTATTACTGTTAGGAAGAACTTGACGTAAGCAACACCATTTTGAAACATATTCTCCATCTTGGAACAAGGGTCCTCTGACTCAGCCTGACCTAAACCCCAAACAAAATCATAAGAAAGGAAATTGTTATCTGGGGACAGAAATTCTGAAAAATACCTGRTTCCTTATGAAGGTGACACCACAAGGACCCTTCCCTAACAATCTCCTAGTAATGCAAAAAATTCTCCCCTTCCTCTTTGCCCTCTATCTAYTCCAGGCTTTAAGTGAAGGAGGGGTCTCAGTCTCCACTGCCCCCCCCAATGGGTTTGTCCCAAATAAACCTGTGTTACTGTTGAGCTGCCTTCCYTTTCTATTTCCTTCATTTGGTTCTTTTCTTACAGTTAGATGTTGGGACCAATCATCAAAGAAATTAAAAGAATATCTAAATGAATGATCAATAGCATTATACTTAGTATAAGAGAATATCATTAGTGACTATGCTTGTTTAAGAATTTCTTCTTGAAGAAGGAAATATGGAGTAGGTCATGTATCTTTTAAAACACAAAAGCCCAGTTCTCTTTGATCAACTGAGTCAAAGATTCTAGAGATGGTGTTCAGATGTCAGTATGCCTTGAAGTTGCCCCAGTGATTCTGATAAGTAGCTAGAATTTAGAAGCACTAGGGTAGATGAATGCAAGTAATGATTTGTAGATTCATTTGGGAATCCAAAAGAAAATCTCTAGATCATGAAAAGAGTTTTGGCGGAGTGAAATAGAAAGTGTAGTGGAATTTGGAAGAGGAAGTGGATGGCAGAGTTTCTCAAGTTTTAATGTGCATGTGAATAACTAGAGTTTGTTAAAATGCAGATTTTGATTGAGTAGGTCTAGGGTGGAATCTGAGCTTTTACATTTCTCACAAGCTCCTAGGCCATGATGTCCCTGCTGCTTTGTAGAACACACTTAGCATGAGGAGGGACTGTGCAAATGTTCTCTTGCCTTTCGAAAGAGAAGAAAAGAGGTGTCCTGCTTTGAGATTCCAGGCTTGTCCTGAAGTAGTATAGCAATATCCTGGAATACTTCATTTTTCAAACAAGGAATGACCCACTAACTACTTARGAATCTGTTACTTCTAACTTTTTGAGGATAAAATTAATAGTATTTTGTTTCACTTCCTGAACAGTCAAATTTAAATTAATAAATAGGATTTGTTAAGACTTGGGGTTAAAGAAAGACATATAAGACCACTTGTATCAAGGAATTTAGAATCTTTCTGGGAAAATAAAAAATTAACTATTACAACATGAAATGTCATCTAACAGCATTAGAATAAGCAAAAGCCTTAGTAGCACAGCAAGGGAATAAAATACCGTTGATTGGGGAGAGAAGATACTTGGAAAAGCCTTCATGGAAAAAATGATATTTCAATTTGAGTTTGAAGAATTATTAGTATTTTTAAAAATATTTATTTTTTAGTTGTAGTTGGACACAATACCTTTATTTCACTTATTTAGTTTTATGTGGTACTGAGGATSGRACCCYGGGTCTCGCACATGCAAGGTGAGTGCTCAACAGCTGAGCCACAACCCCAGCCCCTGATTAGTATTTTTATAAGTGAAAAATGCAAGGGAAGGGAATAGGATGTTTCAGGAAGCAAGACTTACAAGATGAGTCTACATCCCATCATATGGCAAGACTTAAAATTACTTTCAGATCATCTAAATTAATTTCACCTTGTGAGCAGTGATTTTTAAAAAATCTCATTGGTGCTTTTAATGTACAATCAGGCTAAGAGTCACTGGAGGTGTGTAAAGTTGTAAGACTTGTTAAGGTATTTTAAAGTATTTGGAGAGAAATGGGAGGGAAAACCAGAGAAGTCTCAGTTAATTCTTGGCAAAAATGTCTTGATATGAGGTAGATAATTTATCACGAATAATTAGAGTGGTATGTAATTATTACCCAAATAACCAAAGACTGTGAAGAGTGTGCTTTGTAAGTATGAATTAGACTGAATGAAGGTTCTTCCCATAGCAGCAGCTACTGTCTGGCATTCTGTGTTTTTTACCAAACAAGAGATGAAGGATTCGTGTGATAGGGGAAGGACTTTTGTGTTGGGGACCTGGCCTGAGGATGGCGTTGGTTGGAAAGGAATGGATGTCCTCAGCATGGTCAGTGGGGTTCTCAATGACAGTGATATTCAGGGTGTGTCCTTCAGACCAGGAACACAAGTGCCAATAAGGAGCTTGTTAGAAATGATGCATACATCTCAAACRTACTGCCATGAATTTCTGAAAGAGGCGATTTTTAGGCACGCTAAGTTTTTAGAAGTACTGGTGTGTGGAGCTGAAATAGGCTACGAGATTCATAGCTTACATAACTAAATATACTCAGACCCAGACATACACAAACTCTCCATGGAGAGTTSAGAAGGGTGCAGAGGTTAGAGACATAGCAGTAAGGATCAGCCCTCATCAGGGAAGATAGAAAGGTGGCCATGGGAGCATAGGTTGCTGGTCTATGTGGAATGGGGTAATAATCATGCACAGGGAAGAAGCAGGGGCCTGGCAGCGACAGCTGGCTAGGAAGGATGGTGTAGGCAAAGCTGAGGCTGGAGTGTCACACTAGGAGTAGTGGGAGTGAATAAGTAGCCACTGAGCCACGCGCAGTAGTGAAATGATTGGTGGACACCAGGCCCTCCAGTACCGGTCCTTCTTTTATGGTAAGCTTGCCTTCCCAATGGCTCTTTTATGCCCTCTCCCATACTCTTTTTTGGGAAAATGCTACTGGACAAATTGAATTTATACATTGAAATGTTCTTCTTGTCTTACCTTTTGTTTTAAAGTTTCATTTACCTTCTTACAATAGGTTTATATTCTYTTGGGGTTTAAAACTCAGTATTTCACTTTTTCAATCCTATTTTTTCAAGCACTTTAGCCACACTTCTTCTCCTGCATGCTTATCCTGAACATTCTTTTCTCAGTCAGCTCTAAGTCCTATTTTTCCAGAGTTATGTGCCTAGGCATTCTTTCTTTTACATCCGTGTTCAGTCTCTCCAAGAGCCTATTCATTTCTGCTTCCACCCATCGTCCTACTACATTTATTTCTCTCAATTGTCTAATGGGCAAAATACATTGACCCAAATTTATTGGTAGGGACTTGACCCTCCCTTTCTCCATTCCTCTTTAGAATGCTGTTCCTAGCCTTTGCATGGCCTCTGTTCATCTTCTGACCCATGAGAATGGGTCAGGCAGCTTAATGCTGCTTGGAGATCAGTGGCTTCCTTCTTAATCCAGAACAAGTTGATGGAGTAGCAACTGGGGCTGTAGCTCAGTGGTAGGGACCTTGCCCGGCATGCCCAAGGCCCTGGGTTCAATCACCCAGCACCAATGAATAAATAAAATGAAAATGAAACAGGTTAATGGGGTAAAGAGGGGTGTCTATTCCACATGGCCATTGAGAGACCCATGATTTCCACCTGAGCCAGGCCTGGAAATAGGGAAGTCACATCCACACACATTTCCTAGGTCAGAACAGTCTGGTGACTTATCTTACTGAGAAGGAAACTGAGAATATAATCTAATTTTTTTCTGTTTCCAAAAGGAAAAAGAATTGAGGTTTGACAAATGCATAGCATTCTTTGCTACATTTTTTTCCTGATAGTTCTCACTAAAGCTGCTACCTTTTAGGTTCTCAAGGTGAGAGGTTTAACACTGAGAGCWATGTTCATGCCTATCAGCTGTGTTGCAAATATTTAATTCAGGGCTCACATTAAGCTTACWAAGCAGTAATTTTCACTACCCATTTCATGGATGAGATAATGAAAGGACAAAGATAACTTACTCAAGTTTACACAATTAGTATGTTCAAGATGGAGCTGGTACTGGGACCCAGGCAATCTGATTCTAGGGCCCAGTAGCTTATGTGACATATCCCCCAGAGAGAAAGAAGACCTAGAGGGTCAGAGTGAATGGATCAGGGATGATTGTTTTATAATCCACCGGGTGTGTAAACTTCCACAATTATCTCATCATCTGTAAGTCTTGGCTTCTTCATTTGTAAATCTAATTACTAATTCACTTACCTACCGAGTAGTTATAGGATTAAATGAGTTAACTCATCTGTTATAGGCAGTCTTCATGCCATTGTACAATTTTAACACTTAGTTCTATGCCTGGCACATAGTAAGTGTAAGGCAAATACTAGCCATTGTTATTACTATTATTATACCACATTTTATTATAAAAGAAAGTCTGGGTCCAGCATTTGGGCTAGCGGCAATCTTAGATATAGTCTGAGATCCTTCTTTCTTTGTGTGCTTTTTCTCACCGATTTGTTTTACATCCTCTTTGTATATATGTGGTTTTTTTTCTTACAGAAAAAGGTTGAAGAATCCTTAAACCTTTAAGAATCCTTACCTGGATTCTACGGATGAAGACATTCACTATCACCTGGATTTAGGAACAAAAACACACAATCTACCAGCAATGTGTGGGGGATGTAAAGGTAAACACATTTCTAATTCCAGAAAAAATGATTGAGTTTCCTCTGCTAATTTTTGTTGCTTTACCAAAATAAACTTTATCCCCTTGGCTAGAGAAATGTCAGAGGTCCCAATAGGAACCAAATCTGCACTGATTCTCTAAAACAGTTCAGATGTGAACATCATGAATAATAATTTACACCACAATAAGACATAAAGATTTTCAAACCCAATTTAATGAAAACATGACTATTTGGCTGCTCTGGTCTCTGGAGATAAATACAATTTTATTGATAATACTGTTGGGTGTTTAGAATTCATTATGTTTTAAAGGAGTCAGTTCACTTCTTAATGTCTACATTTATTGGTGAACCTCACTAATTCTCATTTTATTAAATTGAAAAGGAACTCACAAAAACTAACAGTACTGTATTACTCCACTTCATGAAAATAATCATCACTCAATATTTTATATTAAGATTTTTATTATTTCATAATAAAWTTTTTCTTATACTACTGCCAGAAAAATTATATTTCTGAAGTATTTGTTTTACCTTATGTACATTTTAATTATAAAGCAATTCATGTTTATTATTTTAAATTGGAAAGCGTAAAAAAATGATTTTTAAAAAACTATTCATAGTTCTACTACCTCAACACAGAAACCATCAACCCATTTTCTTTTCTTCCAATGCTTTTTAATGAGTATACTTTAAAATAGTTGTAATGACATAACCTCGMATCCTACAATTTTCATTTAATTTTGTCATTAATGTTTTCCTTTATTACATTTTCTTTGAAACACGTTGTTCATGGAGGTGAAGTGGCTGTGCCACAAATTACATAACTTATTACCAACTTCTATGTTATGTTCCATTATAAAAAGGATCCAAATGGATATTTTTGTTCCTAAGAATTTTTCACACTTAAGATTGTTTAGAATGAGTCACAACAATGGTCTAAGGGAATCAACTTTAAAAGAACATTTAATGGTCCACCAGTGGAGAATTTTGTAGCTGTCATCTGATTTGTTTTCCACTCTTTTAGAAGTTAGAGCAATAAAAATAAGAGTTTTCACATCCTCTGTCTTACTAAATCTTCACATTAGCTCTTTGAGACAGGGTTTGCAGTTACTAACTAGCTTTATAGAACAAAGTAATTGAGTGCAGAGGGTTCAGAGGAGGTTAAAGTTAGACTAYGGACCAGCTTCTTCTAGGTCCTGCTTTTGGGGTTCTTGCTCATCACACCAGGAGGATTTCTTAAGTTACAGTAAGTCAGAGAAGTCCATTCACTGGATCTGGAGGAAGGAGAGTAAGAGGAGGAGGAGGTTGGGTAGCAGAAGAAACAGAGGAGGAGGAGGCGGGAAGGAAAACTGTGAAGGAAGGAAAGAATAAAAGAAGGGAAGGCCCAGAATTACTATGCTTGTTATCAGAAGGTGCTAAGTAGCTTCCTCCCTTCATTTCTGCTAGGGAGCAAGATGTGAGCTTGTGCGTTGATTTATTGGTAGGGACTTGACCCTCCCTTTCTCCATTCCTCTTTAGAATGCTGTTCCTAGCCTTTGCATGGCCTCTGTTCATCTTCTGCTTCATCTTTTCAATGTACCCTCTTTCCCTATGGTTGTTTCTGATGTTCATGCTTTAAGAGTCACTGATGGAGGCTGCCCTTGGTTCTCCATAGCTGGATTTCACCTGAATTTAAATGTTAGGTTTAAGGTCTGTGCTTCACAATTGTTGTCCCAGGTGCTTATCGAGGGATGACTGATGAATAGAAAGCTCATCATAATTAATAAACTAAGGCACACATCTATTTAGCAAACTCAAGAGACTTAGGGTATGTTTTTGAGACAGAATGATCTATATGTACACACACAGGTTCCATCTCTGCTCTATCGCTTATGGAGTGAATTTCTGTGTCTCCAACTCTGCACAGATATACAAATGGTATGCCATCCAATGCTCACAGCAACCAAGGTAATTATAGTTYCCATCTTACAGATGAGGAAACTGGGGCCCAAGCATCTTTGTAGTGTTATTCCTAATTATATTGATCTGTCTGTAATAGGCACAGCACAGCTGGTGAGTGAAAGAGCTGGATTAAATCCTAGGTTTCTCTCATAAAAAAGGAATCGTTCTTCCCATATTTTTTAAAGCACTATTCTGTTAGTTTCTAGAAAATCAGTGGGAGACACAGTCTTATTTTAGACATGAAAATAAGGAGACTACCACACATTCACATGCATGTGCTCAGACAGGCAAAAGAAGTCTCATCTCTGTCACAATCCCAGGCATCAGGCCTTCCCTTCTCCAGCTCAGTAGCTGACTGGGTTCTCATCAGTACCTATTCTCACACTGTCAGAACTACCATCCAACCTTACATCTCTCCATCCACCTGATTGACGAACCTTCTATAGATGCTCTTTGGGATAAAATACATACTCTTTTCAAAATCTGGTTTGTCCCTAGTGAGGGCAACTCTACCCATTGGGCCATTTTAACGGATAGGAGGCATGCATGTGCTTATGAGTGTGTGTGTGTGTATGTGTGTGTGTGTGTGTGTGTGTGTATGCATGTGTGTTTGGGGGAGATTGAGGAGCAGGAAACAGTTCTAATGATCAAAACTTGCTATTTAACTGAAGCCAGAATTTTGAGAAGCAGCAGGTGAAGTCTGATTTATTTCCACAGATGCTTTTCTCAGGAACTTGCCTTCTACCAGCTACATTCTTATCTTTAAATGAGGACATCCTGAGTTCAATTTMTTGACTCTCTTAGGTCCCAGGGAAGCAATCTTGGCTGAGAATAATCCATCAGTACCTGGAAACTCAGCCTTGTCCTCACAAAGATGACAATAATTATTAATAACATTGTCTTTAAAGGAAAGGAGAACTCTGGGTATGTAAAGTTTAAACAAAAGACTCTGACAATCACCCTACCTACTTCTTTCCTAACCTCACTATATATATATGGAGAGAGAGAGAGAGACACAGAGAGAGAGAATATATAGATATATAGATATATATTTTTTTGGTACCAGGGATTGAACTCAGGAGCACTCAACCACTGGGCCACATCCCCAGCCCTATTTTGTATTTTATTTAGAGACAGGGTCTCTCTGAGTTACTTAGCACCTTGCTTTTGCTGAGGCTAGCTTTGAACTTGAGATCCTCCTGCCTCAGCCTCCTGAGCCACTGGGATTATAGGTGTGCACCACCGCACCCCACTTTCTTTTCTTTTCTGAAGGTTTGCCGGTTTGATAGTCCACAATCTCACCTGGCACAATTAAGCTTACTTCTCACCCAGATTATGGTGCTCCTGGTTGTTGGATGGCCTTCCTCAAACTAGTGATTCTGGGACCCAGGCTCCTCCCCCCATCTGTTGCTCTGTCATCTTCAAGGAGTGGCTTGCAGCCTCCTTGGGTGTCACCTCCCATCAGGCAGATGTCAGGAGGTGATGTGTAGCATCACCTGTAGGATTTCTATGGGCTGGAGCTGGAAGTGACACTTATCACTTCTATTCATATCCTAGTGCCTGGAACTCAGGCAGCTTCTAATTGGAAAAGAGCCTAAGAAGTTAAAATCCAATGTGTGTCCAGGATGGAAGGAAAACAGTTTTGGTGATAGCTCTTTTAGTTTCTACCATATTCACTGGAAATAATCAAACCATTGAAAAATGTGATGGGGGGAACTTAGAAGTTATTTTTCAAACTCAACATCCAAATATATATTTTATAATGTCTTTGCAAATGTCTTTTATAAAACCACTAATTGGCACCCTTCACTGTATCCCTAGAAATTTCAAGTAATGTGGGAAATCTTTATTTTATAAGACTCTGAAATATGCATTTTGAAGGGATTTTATAGCCCTTTGTTAACATACAGAATATAYAAACTACATTTATGTACTAGATTGATACAACATGACAAAATTAAGATACTGGGGATATTTGAAAGTGGGTTTGTCCTGGCAGTCATCAGGCAAAGAACTTGACATACTTTTGCAATGCCTCTGATTTGCAATGCATTTCCATCTTCTTTGATAAAACCGGGACAAAATCATTTTGTTTATAACATAAATCACTGGATGTCAATGTTGGTGGTCTTCAGCCACATTTTACTTCTCATTAAAGCAGACAGTCTGAAAATTGTGTCTAGAGGTAATGTTTAGTAAGTCTGGTTTAGGAGTAAGGCTTCAAGAGCTAAGCTGCTTCTGTCTATTCGTATCATCTTTATGTCTCCAGAAATATTCAGAAATCCCTGTTGATTGCAGCAGTATCTACAGTTCAAAGAAGAGCTCAAACCACAAGCTATTTTAACATCTGTTTCAGTTTTATGGYCAATCTGAATAACTGTAATTTACATTCACAGGCACCACACAATGAAGTTATTTTCAAACTACTGTATCTTCTTCTTTTTTAAAAATTTTAATGAGTCTTCTTATACTTAGATCTTCAGCCAAGTCTTAGCTACCCATACCAACAGAGGACAAAATCCATGAATAATCAATAATAATTGAAAAAAACCCCAACAACTTAAACACTGGTTTTTATCCTCTTGCTACACGGTCCTGATGGCTGACTTCCATTGAAGTTCATTACTAGCTAAAGACCCCATCTGAAAAACTACTGAGAAGCCACAGAAAAGACAATAAGTATAGATAAGAAGCAGAGGGCTTAAATAAAAGGATAATTACATCCTGTAATTGAAAATGAGTATATGTGGCCCAGGAATTATTGCTAAATGCAAACAGAATACATCATGTAATCAGACCACCCAATAGTTAYAGACAATTGTCTCTACAGGCGGTGCCCACTGCATAACCTCAGTTAGGTATTTCATTAGACAGATCTTCTTTATCCCTGGAATGGATCTCCCCAGCCCTTCTTCAGTTCCTCTGACCAAAGCTGCCCACATYAGTCAGACATCACCAACTGCTTTTTCTTTACTAGAGAACTTGAAACAGCTTCATTTGTACTAAACTCTGCAATACAGAAACAATGAACAAGCTCAAAAGGAGGTCCAGGAAATTATTATATGATTTTAAAAAACGATAGTAAGCATTTGTGGAACACTGAGAAGGAGCCTGGATTTGTACAGTGTCCTTTGCCATATGCAATCCCATTTTATCCTGACAAGCCCTGTAAGAGGTACTGTTTTTCCTATTTTGATGATGGTCTAGAGCGCAGAGAGAATACATACGTGACATTGACCAAATTATTTAATCAATGATGGGCTGTGGTTCAAAGCCAGGTTTACCTAACCTTGAAGAGCAAGGCCTTGACCACCATGTTGCTTTSATTGTGTTCAAGTTTCTCAACACTGCTTCACTGAGGGTTCCTGGGTGACCGTGTGCCTGATGCCCTCTATGGGCTCTCTGCTTTTGCCAGTCCTCTCTATTGCTGACCCTGGTACTGACTCAGCCAGCTGTTCATCCATACCRCCAGCAAGCCACTCTGCTCCTCTCTCTGGCATCTACTGCTCCCATCCCTCAGGCTGAAGTATTTCTAACAGGTTATTGCAGAAGTAACTGAAGATTTCTTATTTTTTGTTTTTTGTTTTTTGGCTTAGAAACARCAAATTTATTTTGCACAGCTCTGGAACCTAAAAATTCAAGATTAAGGTGCTGGCAAATTCAATATCTAGTGATAGCCCACTTCCTGATTACTAGATGGTGCTTTCTCATAATGTTCTATTTTTTTTTCATTTTTTAAAATTTATTTGTTCCAATCAGTTATACATGACAGCAGAATGCTCTTCAATYCATTGTACACAAATGAAGCATAAATTTTCACCTTTCTGGTTGTACACAAAGTAGGGTCACAYCATTTATGCAATCATACATGTACCTAGGGTAATTATGTCTGTTTCATTCCACCATCTTTCCTAACCCCATTCCCACTTCCCTCCTCCCTCCCCTTTAGCCAATCCAAAGTTCTTTCACTCAACCCATGCCCTCCCCACATTATGGATTAGCATCTACTTATGATTTTGTTAGCATATTTTACTAGATGTGACACCTTCAGTTTCAACACCTACCTAATTGAGACTGAAAAGTGAACAAAACAAAAACAGAATCACATCACTAGGGCAGATGAGATACTGCAGTAATTTATAATAAGAAAGCTTATTCCATGATAACTCCTTCTCAATGAGAAGTTGAAAAATCTTGACATGATTTGTTTAAAGCTTTAAGTTATCATAGTATATTTTATAATAAAAGCTTACGAATGGGGATGTGGAATCAGAAAACACATGTAAAACTGGTAGTTCTCTTTTTGCCCTTTTACTACTTGTATTTCATGTCAACAGTACTTACCTAATAAGCATAAATCATGYCAATGTTCATCACTAGGATGTTTGCATAAACCTAACATGCATGTTGATGTTACTCTAAACAAAAACACCAGGAAATACCTCCTTAAACAATATCAAAACTTACTTTAATTTTCTTTAATTTAGTACATAAAACTTTGCAACTGATTGCCTTCTTTACAGGTTAATGACGCAAATTAATTCATAAGCATAACCCATGACATCTACACATACTTTTTAGTAAATTAACTAAACAATAAATTTAAAACATTAGAGTTGAAAGAACCCCTGGTTCTTATCCCAGTTACTATGGCAAGTATTTATTTTTATTAACAGTTTGTCTGCGTTGGTGGAAGCCCCAACAGGATGAGAGCATTTGCAATGTTTATGCACAAGGAGCTCAGACTGCAGGGAGATGGAGAAGACGTTAAAGACATCTGCGCTGGAACAGACAGATATTGCATGTTCAAAACTGGTCCTGTGCTCTTCATCAGCCTAAGTGTGCAGTGGCTGCCTGACACCAGGTCTCCCCAGGCTAGAGAACAATGTAGGAACTTTCTGAATATAGTTCTTYGCCCTCTGCTTTGCAGTATTGCACAATCAGCCAGGTGTCCAGGTATAACATTCTCTTCTGCCTTGGAAAAAGTCCTCAGGGCAGAGCAGAGCATTTAGTATCACTTCAGTTTATAATTATATTATTAGTTAATGAAGTTAAGGGAGGAAAAACCCCTCAAAGCACACATTTACCTCCTCTATTTTGTAACTAATACCCTTCCCTCCCCATCGATTTTTTTTTCTCCTCTATTCCTTTTCCAGCTTTGCAAATGTTGAGTTTTCAGTGCATAGGAGCTAATTTTCAGGGTTGCTAAAGCAGGGCTGCTTCATGCTATAGTAAGCTTGCGGAAAAGCTGCTGTTGCATTTCCACTGAGCTCTTGTGATGCTGTCCCCTCATTTAGAATATGTTAACAGATCTGGACAAACAAAATGTCCTAAGACAAAATGAAAGTGGAATGATTTGAAGTTTTAGGGGATACACAGATCATTTCCCCTAAGTGGCCCATACTTAGGTGGGTGGCTCTACATGGGCACCCAGCCTACTTTTTTCAACTAGTCTGTCCCCATAGAGCTGAGTCCATCACTTAACTGAACATTGAAGTCCTCCTTAGGAGAAAGAAGGCGGTCCAGGGAGTAGGGGGAGARTTATGCAGAGGTATGTCAGTTCTAAGGAGCTGAATTGTAAACATGTCTGCACCAGGGGACAGTCACATCCATTATCACTCAAAGTACTCTTTGGTGCAGTGTGGGTGATCATGAATGGAAGTCTGGGGTAACAAAGAAGTATTTAATGAGAAAGGGGCAGCCAAGTTGATCTTCCCTGTAGGCAATAGTGCCTGAAACCTGCTTCAGGCTCAAATGGCAGAATCCATTCATTTATTCACTTGTTCATTCAATAGACAATCATAGAATATCTGCATTCAAAGAAAGCCAAATATCCTTTAATCTTGGCAAATCTCATCTTGCTAATTTTAGCTGGTCTTTTAGATCAAAACTGTTCTTTTCTGGTACAGTAAATGGGGAAGGACAAAAAAGTAAGGTTTATTTTAAAATGGCAGTAAAGCTTCAGAATGAAACATGAAAATAGCAAGAGACGAACTCTGCTTGCCTGTCAAAGAAAAAGATCTGAAATATGTATCACACCAAGGTCAGCCAATTAGAAATGAGTCTTACTAGGCAGGTAGGGGATTTTCAATAGAGACCCCTTTGAAATTTCCTCCTTTCCAGTAGCTGCTGAGGAGTGTATGTGTGTGTGTGTGTAGAGAGAGAGAGAGAGAGAACAACTTTAAGAGAAACACATAAGTACATTTGTCATTTTATCACCATGTTGCAAAATAAGTGATAATTATAAACTTACTAAGTGCTGGATTTAGAAGGAAACTAATAGATCAAACAACGATTTATATTCATAATTTATTTTTGAGGAAGATGATATTTAGACAATTTATTTATTAGTGACAAAACCCCCCAACGTGTTAATCTTTTTTTTGTGGTTATTTT